ACATTTTGCAATGTTTAACCTGGGTTTGGAGCAGCCTTAGGGATGTATGATGATGTGAGGCTTGCCAGGGCTTATCCTGTGCATGTCCGAGTAGGAAAGATGAGGCTTTCCTTGGCTAAACATGGAATGGAACATAGTAACTGGATTTATACCAGGAGTAAAACCTCTCAGTAAGGGACAAGTTGTGGACAGTCTGATACAGCAGCTCCAGAGCCGTCAGCCCAACACGAGAGCTCTGCTCAGCCCTGTGAAGTTCTGTTTCTCTGCTGAGTAAAGTCTGTCTCTGTGTGAGGGAGCGGAGGGAGGAGGTGAGGCAGCTTTACCTAGAAAATAGTTACCACAGTACAAGTGTGCTTAATGATCCTGAGCCATGGGCAGTGCTGGGGTGATGGGGCTGCTGGTGAGATGCAAGGTGTGGGCACTTGGTTAGGGAACATGATGGGGAAGTTTCTGCAGAATGGGTTCAGTGCAGAAGGCCATACCTGAAGGGACTCCTACTGCCTTTGTTCTCAGAATGAATTCTGTTTATGCTTTCCCCGATCCTTTCTCTCCATTGTTTCTTGTCAGTTTTGTAGTCTGAGAGCTGGTTGTAGTGGCACACAAGCAGTTAATTGCTGCCCTTGATCCCAAGTAACTTGTAACCCACTACTATACTTGTGCTCATACACTGCTGTGTAGTTCCACTTCGGTTTGTTCCTCGTTGTTATGGAAAGTGGTGATAACAGCGTTTAGTGTGAGTAAGAATAAATACCTATGAGCTTTGCCCAAATGAAAGATGTGGGAAAATACCTGAATGCAACACTTGCCAAAGAAATGGGCCGGTCTAATATATTTCTTGTATATACTTGGTGTTTTTTCCAGTGGAATGCTCTGTTGCAACTGGAGATTACATTGCTGCCTCCCTCGGCCCAACGGCAGCCACAGTCATGGATAAATGAGACTGAGAACAGGCGACTGCTGGAAAGGAATGGCTTCTGGTTCTTATGTCAGAACAAGAAGATGGGAGCGGGCACTGCCCCTGGCCCAGCACTGGGTCACACTGGTTGAAGCAGAGCATCCACACTTGCTCTCCTTACAGCTTTGTCTGTGGAAAACATAATTGCAGCACAGAGAAACTGAAATTGCAGACTTTTTCGGTCTGGGCCTCATGGGTTGCAATGACAGAGCCATCCATTAAGCTTCTGAGGACAGAAGAAAGAATATGCCAGAAAACCACTGTCCAGAAGATGACTTCATAGCATTTCTTAGCCAGCCAACCCTCCCTGAAGTCTGAGTGCATGGGAGCTCTCCTGGAGCTCTCGGGGAAGTTTGGGGACGGCTGGCTCTGATCTGTGGGTGCTGCTGGTTTGGGCTGTCTGCTAAAATGTGTTGGAACTGCTTATCCATCAAGGAGAAAGTCTTCCAAGTGCGTCCCCATGTATTCAAGATTTGTCGTCTCTCTGTACTCAGTCAAGTAGGGGCAGAAAATGTAGTTCTATGGCCTTAATTCTTTTAAACTTATTGGGAGAGTATGAGTGCGAAGGGAACAAGAGCTTTGCAATTGATTCGAGTTGTCTTTTATGTTTTCTTGGATGTTAGAAGATCTGGTCCATACACACGTGTAAAAATCAACAATCGTTTCTTCTCTCTGAAATTATGAGGTCATCAGACCTTCTGGTTTAGTGCTGTTCAGTGTTCTGCCTTCTGTTCTTGGATAACACATTTTGGGTATTAAGTGAGCTTGATCAAGCTAAAAAAAGAAGGAAAATTGTGATGAAGGAAGAAGAGCTGGAATGGGAAAGTCTGGAAAGGTGTGTTTTGGGGATGAAGTAGTGATTTCTGACAAGAGAACTGTTTGGCGTTCAGCAGATTAGGGAGTAAGGATGATGGAAGTCAGGATACATTTTTGAGGCTGAATGAGGAAAGTCAGTGAATTGAGGACAATGGAGAAGAATGTGGCGGGTGACTGCTCCGATTAAAAGGTCAGACTCTGTTGGATGCTCAAAAAAAGGTCTCTCACAGGGCTGTGGAGAATTGCCAAACCTGATCTTCCTCATTAAATCATTGGTCAGAGATCAGACCCTGGCTCTTGGGCCCAGAAGCATTTTATTTGGGTTGCAGTCTTCTGTCAGCCAAATTCAAGTGGGATTCGAGTGGCAAACGTTCCTGTCCACAGTGACGGTGCTGGGAAGGGCTGTGCCAGCCCAGAGGGTATCAAAATGTATTGTTTTCATCCCCTTCTGAATTAGTCAGGACACTTCTCATGGCTCCAGAAAGCCAAAAGTCTGTGTCTGTGGCTTTTACATGAAACACTCACATTTCTCAAACAGTGGTGACGTTTATTTCTGTGCGCTTGAGAGGCACCAGCCACATCCCAATCCCATTTCAGCTCTGTCTCACTAACGCCCAGCACTTTGTCTTTCTTCCCACTGCATGTCTGTAAGGCAGCCTTGTTTGGTTTGGGTGCACGATCTCCCCAGCAGCCCCCAGGCAGCAGCCTGTGTGATAACCCTGGGAATGGCACTGGGTGGGGAATGTGGTACTTTCGAAAACACTCATTAGCAGATGTGTTTTCCAGTTGGCTGATGAGAATGTTGCAGGTGGTACCTTCATATGCTGCTCTCCTACAAGGCAAGTTTGAAACCTAAAGTTGAAAGTTCAGTATTGTAAAGTAGAGGGGCAAAAGAAAGGCAATGCATCTATTTGGAAAAAAGGAAAGCTGGGAAAGGCTTGTAGGGCTGCTGGCACAAGGATGGGCTGTGCTTTTGTGGCTGTGCCGTCCTTCTCCTTCCATCACCCTTCTGACAGTCGTGTGAAAGTGGCAGAATCTGAAGACTGCAGACATCTATTGCTGGATATTAGAGAGTCTGGTCAGAGGAACAGCTCCTGCTGAGACGTGATGCGTCTGGAAAGCAGAGATGCAGTCAGTGGGAATGTGTGGGTCATCCACATGGTGTGCCCGTGGGTTTGTGTGCAGGAAGTCCTGGATGGGGCTGCGGGAGCCCCCATGGAGCCGCTGCACAGTGCTGCCTGTGGAGCCAGGAACCATTAAATCAGGTGGCCCGCAGAACAGCTGGATCAGGTGCTGAAGACTGTGCAAGTGATTGGAATCTGAAGAATTTTGGCTAATATTTACACGAAGTGTTTACCCTTTGATAAGAAGCAGGTCATTCACAAACACGTACATGGCACAACGCTGGGAGGTTGGTCACAGTGTTTGCTTTTTGTTCTTTGGAGAACAGTTGCATGTTGTAGTTTGATATGGATTAATCTGTATCAAAAGCTGTGGGCTTTTTTACCTTTCTTTCCACAGACCTGTTTGTTCAAAAGGGGCCATTTTACAGAAATAGGTCTATGAAGTTTTGTGCAGGCCGACCTCTTTGCAGCATGTCACATTTATCTCCAGAATCCTTTGGAGAGGAAATCCTCTTGGATTTCCCAAAATGTGGTGCAGGTATAATTTTTCATCCACTGACACTGATAGGTCAGTCCCAAATGAAGGTTTGAGCTCTGCTTGTGTTCATTAAGTAGCCATTCCTGCTTCTCTGGTGGAAAGATTGCCTTGGTAAACTGTAAACTTGGTAAACTTCAGCGGAAGTGAACACGTGAGCAAGGGTCCTGCATGGCTGCATTCAGTGTGAGGTTCTGCTCCCCAGGGCTTACTGAGATTAATGGAGATTTGACACAGAAAACAGTTCTGTGTCAGACGCAGGGGGGTGGCACTGTGTTGGGGCACTGTGTGTACCTGTAAATGAGTTACAGGTTAATTAGCAGCACCTGATGTCATCTAAACGAGGTCAAACAGGAACAGGCTGTAACTAGAAGAAAGCTTGCCCTTAAAGGAGCAGTAAGTTGCTAACTGACCGCAGCAGGTCGCTGACTCTTCTCTGCACACAACACACGTGCTGGAGACACAAGGCTCTCACCTGTTCAGCTGGTCGCAAAGACCTCAGGGTTGTGCAACACAACTCCTTCCCCTGGTGCGATGGGGTCCTGCTGGCAGCCTGCGAGCACCACGGCCATCAGCAGGACCACAGCCTCGCAGCATGCTCTGGGGCTGCCTTGGTAAGCATTTGTCTGAAGGAGGAATCTCAGCGTACAGCACTTGTGTCAAGCTGAGTAAACCAACAGCATGGACAGCAGCAACATGAACCTGCTGGCACGGCTGTGCCACTCCTGTTCTTTTTGTCCGCTGTCACGGCAGAAACTTGGAACAAATCTAAGACGCTTTATTGGAGCCCAGAGAGTGCCCAGCCTGGGCACAGAGCACGTCTGCACCGCCTTCTGCTTTGGCCACCTGCCTGCTGTGCAGCACTGGGCTCCTCACTGTCCTTGCTGAGATCCTGCTGCTCGTTTTCATGCTTTTGTTCACCGCATTACTTTGTCAGATGTGTGCAGCACAGGCCGTACGTTTGTGTTTGCAAACTGCTTTGCATAGAGGGCTGTGCTCCGTGTGCAGTTTCCTGGGCAGAACGGGAGTAAACATAAGAAAGAAGTGAAATAAACTTTTTAATTTTTGTTCAGAGTTTTTAGAAAGAACGCTTCTGTCCGGCCCTTAGCAGTTGTTAGTGGGCTTAGTTCTTCCTTGGGCACCTGGAATGACGTGCTGTTAACACACCTCCCTTCACCTTGCAGTCTCCTTTGTTCAAATATACTTTTAATTCAACTTTTTTTTTTCTTTTTGCTTCTGGGGGCTTACAGTGAAAATACAGTGAGCTAATCTGGAACCCACGAACCCACTGTGGTACAGATTTGCCAGGGCATTCTGAGAGCCAGAGGCAGCTCCATGGAGGGTGTGCTACACCAGCTGAGAGAACAGCAGCACCACTGGTTGTGTCAGTTGGGTTTTAAGAAAATTCTTGCTCTTGTGGAGGGAGAACGGCAGCTTTTATGTGCTTATTTACACACTGAGATCAATGATTTTTTTTTTTCTGCCAGAGTTTAAGCAATGCCTTTCCAAATAGGATGACAAATGCAGCAATAGGTTTTCTCTCTAGATGTGTTTCATTATCACACTATTTAAATTTTAGTAGAGACTGCTGGAGAACAGCAGATAACTTCAGCTCTTACTACTTTTCTGTTACTTTGAAGATGTGCAATTGTAGGCTTGCACTTAAAGGAAATCAGAGCCATGGCAAGAGTGGGAGCAGAGGGCACTGCAGTGGAGAAAAAATTCTCCTGCTTATCTGGCACTTGGCTACCAGGAGGAAAGGCTGCAGGCAGCTTCATGAGGGAGCAGGAGAGACAGCAGCGAGGGAAGGAACGTCCCATGACGTCCTGTGAGCCTCCATGTCCTCCTGCAAACAGTGGGTCAGTGGTGGCTGCTGCTTTTTCCAGCTCAGATGGTCTTACCTTCCCCTTCAAAGGAGCTGAAGTTGTATATTTCCTGTTATTTATGGTGCCATATAAGCTTGAGACATAAATTGGTTTTGTTGCTGACTTCACTGTAAGTGACAAGCAGGGGTAGCCTGAAATAATGGGGGAAAGACATCTTGGGAAACACTGGCATAGGAAACCACAAGAGCTCTTTCACCGATGTACATAAAACCAAAGCACGACTGTTGTTTAAATTCTACACATAGCTGTGGAAAGTGAGTGCCAAAGTCATGTTGTAAATCAGGGTAGCACCATGACTTCCATGGGACCGTGCCAGCACGTCCCAGACAAAGACTTGGCTCGGCCTGTTAGCAGTGGTCAGGATGTGAAAGAGCTGCCTGGAGAAGTTCCACTGGAACACAATTTTGACTAGAAAACGAAGATCAGAATGATGGGGGAATCTGCCTCATGGTTCTCTTGTGGTTCCCACAGGGCTTCATCCTGGGCAGCTCCGGGTGTGCTGGAGCTCACAGAACTGCATGGGAGCACATGGCTGAGGATGGTGCTGTTCTGAGGCCGTCTGCTCTGCAGGTGATGTGGGCAACCTGGGGTAACAGCACAGGTGGTGCAGTCTGACTATGCTCTGTGCCAGCACCACCGCTCTCTCATCTGCTTTTCCCCTTCTGTGGCTTCAGGAAACCTCCAGTTTTTGTTTCACCAGATTTCTGAGGTTTTTATTTCTTGAAATTCTTCAACGTGTTGTGATGAAACGGATGGGGAACTTCAGCAGCAGCTGTTGATGTTTGTTGTGTCACCCCTTTACCAAGGAGAGACTAATACACAGCTGCATGTTAGATGATGTTAGAAAAGGGAGAGGGAACCTCACAGTGTGTCCTCGGGTCAATTTCTGACTGCAATTTCTGGAAGAACACAGCAGAAATTCCAACCTTGTGGCGTTACGCTCCTTTCATTTCTCAGAAACTCGTTAATTTATTTACTGTGCCCCACAAGTCCAAGTTCTCTTTATAGATTAACTGGTGTGTTTTGGCTTCCATCCATCTCTTCCTTTGGTGGAAGATGAATGATACCATGACCGTCTTTGAAACAGGGCAGGAATGTGGTGTTTTTTGATTAAACAGCAGCATCAGCCCTGGGATCTGTCTGTCTGCCAGCCCTGTGAGGCCCCCTGCTCTGTGTGCTGTCAGGAACAGAGGATGGAAATCTGAGTCCAACCTCTGTGATGAAGACAGACGTGCAGAACTGCAGTAGGATCTGGAAACCATTTGCCTTTCTCCAGGAGGAGCATCGCTATGGAGGAGCTCATTTCTGAGGGCTCTTGGAGCTGTTTATTTGTTTGCCTTCTTTTAATAACTAATTGATCCTTACAGCTGATCTAAATGGGAGCTCCTAAACGCAGCCACTGCCTGTGGCCTGTCAGGCTCACCAGGTTGGGTTTCCATTGGGATTTGTACCACCTGCGTGCACATCAGAGGGGTGTGAAGCTGCAGAAGCAGCTGGGGGGGTCACACACAGCATGGCCACCTCCTGCAGCCTGCTGGTGCCCCTTACATGGCTGCCTGCAGAGATCCTGTTTCTCAGAGTAAACCTGTGTGTGTTGTGTAAGACTCAGAGTAAATGTCAAGTGCTGCTAATGAACATGGGCTGCTTTCTCGACTCCACAAGAGTTCTGTATTTGTTGCATGTGAACTTTATTCTGGTGCCTCTGGAATGTTGGCAGGGCAGGTCCTAACATCAGGCATAAAAGCATTTGCCTGTTGTTTGAAAACTGTGATTTGTTACTGACCACAGAACCCCTCTCCCAGGTACCACTGGTCTCCTCAAGGTACGTGCTGTAAGGCTCTGGGAAGGGTTTTCCAGGATAGGTATTTTTAAGTATGGATTGACATGGCATGGAAGTTCACTTCAACAGGGCATCATTTACATCCTGTTCGTTTGGTTCTCGCTCCCCTGAGAAGCAATGGAAGGCTCAGAGGAGCAGGGCTCTGGGGGCCTAATAGGGCTGATGGTCATCATGATTTCTTCCCATTTGATCGTTCTTCTGGGCTAATCCCTGCGCTACTGTCCACATGTTCTGTATGAGAGCTTCTGAACAGAAATACTGAACAGAGATGCTGGCAGGGTCAGGTGCACTCTGCGAGTTGTAATTGCAGCACTGTGTTTGCAAAACCTCCTGCTGTTCAGAGGAGGGCTGCGTTGATCCAGCTGAGAGCTGGTTGCCGACCCATGGCTGTGAGCATCTCCCAAAACACAGCTCTGCATCCCTTGGGCATTTCATGGAGCCCTGCCTGTGCTGTGTTTGGGTACCTCTGGGATCAGGGAGCATCTGAGCTGGAATTTCAACCTCTCAGATTTATTTGTAGGTAGACTCAGAATCAGGCTCTGATTTTGTCCCTTGGTATTTGCAGTCATAACGAGAAGGTGTCTTCCAGTTGCATGCAGCCTTACATTTAGTGAAGATCTAGAGAACTCTTGTTATTAAAAACTTAGTTGTTGTTTTGCAGTAAAGGAATTGATGGTTTCAAGATCCCTGTACCTACTGAAGCTATGTAGCTTCTCTGAACATTGTTTTCTAGTCCTCATTTTCAACAGGTGTGTGATGCTAACTGCCTGCTCTCCCTGAGTGCCACCATCCTCCCACCCACTCTCTTTCACCATTCTTTTTTTCTCCTTTCCATGTTAGGATCCTGTAAATATTGTTGAAATGTGGCTGCAGTGCAAAATGGGCTTTTCCAACAACGTGGGTGTGGATATCTAATTGAACAGCTTCCTGGAAAGCCTTCCCCATGGCTGTATCTGAGAACGAGACAGAGAGATGGCCTCGCAGGCACGGCGGTGGAATAGGAGCACTGATGGAGCCCACAGCTGCTCCTGACAGCAGCCGTCTGTCCCCAGTGCCATCCCTTGGCAGCACAGACCACGTCTTGCACCTCCCTGGGCGAGCAGACTCTGCGTACAGCTCTTTCTCAGGGAGTTCAAATGTTCCAGAGTATCACACCCCATCGTGTTATGAAGCAGACTGCTGTTCAGCTTCAGAGCAGGTACCGTACATGGACTCGGAATACGTAAGAGGCATTTATAACCTCAGCGCACCAAGCTCTGCTCTCAGATGCCTGCAGCCGTGCCAGGCACCAGCCCAGGGCATCCCTGCTTCCTCTCACAGCCCTGCTCTTGCTGAGTGCAGCAGTGGCACTCCTTCCCGTGGGACACTGGACCAGGGACTGCTGCCTCCGGCTGCACCTCCGCCCTCTCCTCCCATGCGACTCGACAGCTACAGAGTCACCAGACACCTGGAAAGCACAAAGGGGAGAGGGAGGTGGAACTCTGGAGGTCTCAGTGAGTGCAGTGTGCAGCAGTCAGCTCCTTGCGTGGACAGCCAGCCGGTGAGTGCATTGCATGGCCAAACAGGGGCTGGAAGCTGTGAGCCAGCTATGGTGGCAGCTAGGAGGAGGGCTCTGGAAAATAAGGGTCCTTCTGGTTCTGCAGATGGAATATCTATATCAAAACTTCAGGGGTTAAAGACAGAAGAAAATGGAGAGTGGAGCCCATCCCAAAAGCCTGTGAGGAGAAGTAATCCTCACGTTTACAGCAGGCCATCTTCCTTCATTTTTCAAGAGTATTTGAAGACTGATTCCATGGCTAACATCCCTAAAATTCTGTCTGCTTACGGTTCAGCTCACATGCACAGTGTTTCTGAAGAGGTGAAGCCCAGGCCCTACACATGTGCACACAGCAGCCCTGGTGCTGCTGGTGATGCAGGAGGGGGTGAGCTGTGCCCATGCAGTGCACACCGGGCAGTGCTCGGGGATGCAGAGCTGCAAAGCCAATGGAAGGGATCGCCACTGTGCGCTCAGTGCCCGCTCCGTGCTGAGCTGCCTCTGAATGTGGGTCAGGAGGTGTTTGAGGACATTTGTGACTTGAAATGTACGGAGAATGCTCTCCTTATAAAAAATGCATCCAGGAAGTTCAGCATCTGTACAGATAAAAATGGGTGCTATGAATACAAAGGAGAAATTGGAAGTGTTGTTAGGGAACCGCTTCTGAACCCACCAGGCAAAATGCAGAAATCGCCTCTATCCTGCAGCAGTGATGCTGTAGAATTGGAGCAGCCTCCCTCTGGGAAGTTGGATCATGGCAATAAGCAGTGCTGTGATAATACTGAGCAAATGGCTTTTCTTACATCAAAGGAAGATTCCTCATCACAGCCTGTAAATGAAGGTTGTGCCAATAGCAGCAGTCCTGGCCTTAATGCGCAGCTAGAGCAAGAGCAACCTCCTGTTCCTTATCAGAAATGTCAGCCTGCACTTCAGCAAGAGCTCTTAAGACAGGCACTGTATGATCCTGCCGGTGAGCAAATAACCAGACAGACAACTCCGATGCTTTATTACCTGTCTGGGGGAAGGGCTGCCAACGCCACACACCACACTAAGCTCACACAATGTCCAGAGGGTGTGAGGAGCTCACCAAAGGGATTTGCAACAAGCAGCCACACTGCCTCAGCATGGAGCACAGAGATGCAGAGGGAAAGCAGTCAGCCCCGAAAGGCTGAGCATCGCCAGCACTGTGCCAATGGGGATCCCCTGAACAAGGCTGAAGACATCGCTCTCGGGACTCCTGCTTCATCTGTGGAGGAGAGTTCTAAGAATGACTACAGAGAGAAACTTAAAGTGGCTCAGAAAAAGGTTCTGAGAGAAACTTCCTTTAAAAGAAAGGACTTACAAATGAGTTTGCCTGTTAGACTGAGACAAAAGCCCTCCAAAAGGCCTTCAATTGAGCACCTTAGATCTTTCTCATTGTCCAATGCAAACGAAGATTCCAAACCTGCTCCTTGTTCTGCTTCTCACCTAGAATCCTTGGAAGGTTTCAATAAAGACACAGAAATTAAGAGGCCACAAGCAGGTCGATTAGGGGGAAGGAAAAGGTTGACAAAAGAGGAAAAGAAACTGTGCTATTCTGAACCTGAGAAACTCAATCTGCTGGCAGACAAGGAAGTCCAGGGGAGCAGAGGCAGCGATGAGAGCACTGAGCAGGATATGGCCACAGCCAGGAGAAGGACTTCAGAGAGCAGAGGCAGGGCTCTTTCCAGTTCGAGCATCTCCAGGACGGAGCTGAAGCAAATCCAGCACACTGCACTGATGGAGTACATGGAACGGAAGATCAGTCAGAGACCAGGCAGCACACAGCACGCCCCACTCCATAAACTGCCCCTGCAGACAGGGCCTTCGCATCCTAAATGGCCTCCTGGCAGGAGCTCTAACCTCGGTGAGAGCAGAAAGGCACCAAGCAATGATGCTTCCTGCCAGGTGTTCTCTGAAGAAGCAGCACCAGATGTTTTCCCTCCTTCCTCACCTGTTCCCTCACCAGATGCAGACGGTGGATGCAGGACGGTGCCAGCAAAGCCCAGCCTGCATCCTGCAGCACCGGATTGCAGCTGCAGCACCGAGTGTGTGTCTGTGCACAGCATCCCTCTGTCGGGTGCTGCTGCCCAGGGGAGGGAAGTGGAGCATCCTTCCATGCAGGTGAGCAGTGTTGGGATGGTGGGGTGCAGCCTTCTGCTGCAGAGAAAGTGGGTGGACTGGTCACTGGGAAACCTGCTCCTCATCAGGAGTGAGAGGAGATCAGTGCTTGGCTTCTGGCAGGAGGTGGAAGAAGTTGGGGTGAAGGGCTGTCTGCTTAATCCATAGGAAATGCTACATTGCTGCTTGAAAGCAAAGCCTGTGCTCTGCTTTTGCAGCGTGCAGAAGTAATTGGGAGGGGGGATTTGAAGAGAAGTGCTGACAACTGTAATGTATTATGTATTTATGGTTACCAATAACTATGGTATTCTCAAAAATATTTTGTAAGGACGTATTGCAGACAAACAAGGTGTCCTTTATGCTGCAACATGAGTGTATAAAGGAAGAAACTTTCTGTGACAGAAGTGTGCTTGGTCTGAGCAGAAGCACCTGCACAATTAGTGCACAGCTATTGCAAAGGGGGGGAGGTGGAAGGGGGGTGGAAGAAAAGCTTGTGTCCAAAGCCAACCCTCTGGGAAACTCCCAAACAACTGGAATCCAAGTGAAGGACCCATCTGTTGCTAATGCAGCTGCGTGGTCTGAGTGCTGCCTGTACCGTGTGCTGCTCTCATTTCCAGGCTGCAGACAGATGTGCCAGCTGTGCGGTGCCACCAGCCCAGCCTTGTGGAAACCACATCAGCACCCCCAGGTAAGGCTGCAGGAGCACTGCTGTGGGGCACATGGCTGTCTTCTTCTGCCTGGAGAGGAACAAAAACCCCTGACCTGAGCTCAAGGGGCAGGGCAGAGCTCACCCAGAAGCACAAAACCTCCTGGAGTCTCTCCCGCACTCAGAGCCCCTCCGGCCTCATCACTGCTCTGTGTTGGGGTGGCCCATCTTCTGGGGATGGGTTTATCCGTTCCCTGCTCCTAAAGTGTAGCAGAGCCCATGTTCAAGCAGTGACAGCTTAGTGCTGGGTGTGACTGCCTGCTTCCGTCTTCCTTTCTTAGCATCCTTCGTTGGCCATGCGGGAATATTTGTGTACTATGCTTTAAAAACAAAAAACAAAAAACCTGTTTTCATATTGGAGTGACCTTTAACATCGTTTCTCCTCAGCGGAGGAGTGTGTCAGTGCTGTGTGCCTGAGCTGCTCCTCTGGAAGCACAGCTCCCTCGTGTGACTATTGGAGACGGCCGCAGCTGCGCTGAGCAGCACGGGCTGCAGTGCTGCATGTGTGTGCGTGTGTGTGTGTGTGTGTGCATGTGTGCCTCCTGGGTGACAGTGAAGCCTTGGGGCTCTGCTTTCTCAAAGAAAAAAAAACATACTGTGCTGTGTACAAATAACTAGCTAGAAGCAAGGTGTGTTCAGTCTTGCTATCCATTTTGCTTGCTTTAGCAGCAGGGGTAAAGAGGACCTGAGCTTTGTCTCGACACAGAAATGAAGCTGACGCCTGTATAATAACCTCTATAAATAGGATTTCTGCTGTTTCAGTCACTTGAGCAGCCCCCGATGGCTCCTGGAGGCCTGCTCCTCTTGGCAGAAGTCATTCACAGCTTCCTGAGATTTGGAGTTTTGCTTAAACGTTCCCTTTTAGCTTGGGAGCTCAGTGAGTTTCACTTGGGGTTTAAGACAGAGTAGTGGAAGGGCAGAAAAGTGTTTGATCAGAGTTCTGTACCATGTGCTGAGTAACAGAGATGAAAAGCCAGTAGCTGGTTTGATTAGTAACTAATTTAGATGATTATCTTTGGGAAAGAACTTGAAGTATGGATTTCACTGCAGCACTTGTATCTTATTTGTTCTCTTGGTTTTCCTCCCAAGAAAGTGCTATTGAGCTGTGGTGGGAAATGCAGAGCATACAGGTGTTGTTTGTGCTGTTAATTACTACAAAGATTGTCCCATGTAAGACTTGCAGGGAGAGTGACTTTGCTTACTGTGTGCATCTCTTCCCAAGGCTACCATCCCTATCCCTAGCTGGGAATTCCCTCCTCTGGTTCAGTCTCTGTCAGGGAAGGAAAATGCTTACATTAGGTTGGCTTTGGGAAGGCCGATGCCATCTGTTGCACCAGGGTGAGCAGCAGGGGTGGGGAAAGGACAGATTTTTCTCTCGGCTGTGTTGACTTTGTGACCTTAGTTTAGGTTGACAAGCACTGAGGTGAACTCTGTGCCCATTCTGTGGGACAAAACTTCTGCTTTGTGCCTACAACTTTGAAGTTTGTAGGTCAAGTCAAATCAAGGCTTAAAAAAAAGCCCCTTTTCATTGAAACCCTCGGCTTTTCCTTTCTACCTTCACAATCATAGTATTTTATTTAAAAAGGTGCTAGTGGGCAAAGAAAGTTTTGTTCCTTCAGTCATGTCAGCACACTGCTATTCACACGCATGGCTGGGCTGCTCTGCTCGTTTTCATGTGGGTGTGTATGCATGAACACCATTTCTGCAGAGGGTGGGCTGCACAACTGTACAGTCACCTGGAGTTCAGAGGGGCCTCTGCACTCACAGATCTGGTCCTACATATATTTTACAAGTACCTGTTCCCACTTACTGTACCTTTATGAACATGATTGCTTATGGTGGCCTTTCCCTTCAGTTACCTGCAGCTGCTTAGCAGTATGGCAAAGTGTCTGCTATAGAGGAATCATCTCCAGTAAAGGGAACATCTGTCTTTATTCTTACAGTTCCCATGATCCCAGGGGAGACGGATGCCAGAACCACGAAGATCGAGACAGTGTTGTTGGAAGCTCTCTGTGTCAGCACAGTGAGGAGCCAGCTGCCAGCAGCTCTATCCCCAGCCCACGAAAAGGAAGCAGGGACGATGCTCAAATAGAAAAGAAAAGCAGAAGTGGATCTCAGACTGGCAGTGCTTTAACGACGTGTCCGGAGCTGCAGCCGAAGGCAAGCAATGCTGCGGCTGCTGAGGAGAATGTGGCAAGCTGCCTTGTGCTGCCAGCTCAGCCTCAGCAAGGAGATGGAGGTGCAGCCCCAGGTTGGGGTGCAAAGGAAGCAGCTGCACACAGTGGCTGTGGTGGTGATCTGCAGGAGGGGGAGACGGACCTGCCCCAAAGGAGGCTGTGCTCTCCTGAGGACCGGCGTTACGAGGAGCTTGCGTTGGCACTCATTGCCAAAGACAGCTCTCTGGTTGATGTGCTCATGCCTTATCCTGTTAGAAAAACTGCTCTGGACTTGATGGAGGGTCTTTTCCCTGTTAACGTTTCCATGTTGGAAATGCACAGAAGGAAGGCAGATCTGCGACGTGCACGGGAGAATGAGTGAGTAGACAAAACCCATTAACTGCTGTATTAAGATGGGATGGCATGTGAATGTTATACATGCACCAGCTCTGAGAAGATGTGTTTTTCTAATGTTTGTTTCATTAGCAAAGTATTATAGTTTTCTGGTTTACCTGTCCAAAAATATCTGAGGCTGAAGGGGCATGAGGGAAGAAAGCTAGAATAGGGCACACTGTGACAGCTGCATGCCAACGAATGTGCTGTGTGCATTGAAAGCATGAGAAATAAGTAAGCTGTGCACTGGTGGATGAGCATCTGAGGTATGACAAATTTAGCCCCTTCTGCCGGGGGGGAGTTTGGTGCTGCTCAGCTGAGCTGCATGGTTTCTACATGCTGACAGCTTTTGCAGATCAGATCTTCTGAGCGTGCTGCATGTGAGAGGGAGATGGGCTGAGCAGGGACAGGAGGTGCCCTGGTGGCCATGCTGCTGCACTGAGTGCATGGCAGCAGTGTGCTGATCTGCCTGCACTGCAGTGAGCAGATTGAGACCTGTCTGAAAGGGACTGACAAACCTTGTCTGCCAAAACAGTCCCCAGCCTTTAAAACACTAAAACATCCCTGCTGTGAGATGAGACACAAGTGATTCTGAAGTGGAGACACCTAAGAACAAGAATGCAGCGTTTGTGAACAGTACTCAGTGTTTGTCACAGGTTATTTTCTGTTTGAACAGCAGGAAAAGCAGTGGAGATGTGACAGAAGAATGTCCTGAGTCTGAACTCACCGTCAAGCAAAGGAGTGAAGATCCCACTGGGAAGGGAGACCGTGCACTGGGCAGGAGTGCAGATGACACGAAGGACCTAGATGACATCACGTGTAAGAAGGTAGATGAGCATCAAATGAACCATTGCTATTTCACCACGTCACAAACTTATTTGCATCACATCTATTATTGTGGATGCTTTTATTCATAGCTTTTATCCCAGTGATTATGTTTGGTGGATAACTTTGAGTCAGTCTTTTTTTCCAGTAGCTAATGTTCTAGGAATAAGCAAGGTGATCACAAATGGTGGTGTTTAAATTCTGCCTGATTTCATTCCGGTCCCTCCTTCTACGTGCCGACCTTCAGCAGGCCATGGGAGCAGTGTGTGCAGCACACCCATGGGTTGCTTGGGATTGTTTGATTGTTTGCTTCCTTGTTCCTGCACAGCTCCTGGCTTGTGAACTAACATTCAAATGTGGTCTCCATATCTGTAGAATTCATTACAATTGGCAGCCTAAATAATGAACAATAAATAATAAATGTTTTTGACACGGTGAGAACTTGGCAGCATTTTACACTAGTAGCCTATTAATTTCCATACTTGCAGGGAATAGAGGTGGGCATGGCTGGATGCCAGTCCTACAGATAGGAGCATGGCATCTTAGAAGGGTAACACACAGCTTTGAGGAATTACACTATTTTTTTTCCTGTAGAAACTCCATCTCAGGTAATTACAGTCTGCCCTCTTGAAATTCCTCCTGCTGTGGGCATAGGGATATTTTCTGCTGCCTGCTGTTGATCTGCTGCTGCTGCTCATTACGGCACCATCAGCCTATTTCTAAACAAGCTGAGGCAGTTCTTATCCCTCTCTGATCTAGGAGCCTTTTTCCATATCAACACTTTGGTATTCGACAGCCTCCTGCACCTGCTCTGCCACCAGGCCCTTGGGCTGAATGGAATCACCTGCACAGCTGCCTTTCTCTGTGAAATGAAATTCCAGTCTGTCCTCGTGCAGCAAAGTAATGGAGCTGTGGCTTCACACTCATGTATCAGAGCATAACCGTGTTTAAACACGTGGAAGTCTTTGTAGCAGTTCGCTGCTGACTCTGGCTCTCTGAGTGAGGAGTTATGGCACCAGTTGAGGCGATGATCAGTTGTTTGCTTCTCAGAGTTTGAGAACTAAGTATACCATGGATAATCTTCCTTTTCTTCTTTCCCAGAGCTTGAAATTATTTTAAGCTTTAAGCGGGGCAAAGATGACATGAGAAGATCCATCCTTTGTAAGTGATACATATGGCTTATCTTCAGCAATCCATTTTCTCTATGCTTTTTTTTTCCCTTTGCAGCTGGAGCTCATCTCCAGCCTTAGGGCCAAAGTGCGGGTGCTGGCAGAGGACAGGGAGCTCATCCTTGCTGAGGCCAAGGAGTGTGCAGAGCGTGGTGAGGAGCTGGAGGCTGCCGTGCGTGCTGCCTGCAAGCCCAACGAGTTTGAGCGCTACCTGATGTTCATCGGCGACCTGGAGAAGGTGGTGAGCCTGCTGCTCTGCTTGTCCAGCCGCCTCGCCCGCGTCCAGAACGCCATGAGGAAGATCGATGGCAACACAGATGCTGAGGAGAAGGTGAGAGCACCAAGTACTTAATTAGTTCTGTCCACATCTGTCCCATGGGGCTGCACTTGCCTCGCTTCCCACAAGCCCTGCATGCTGGTGAGCTGCACACCAGCGCTGAGCTGCGGGGGCCATCCAGCCCAGGGCTGCTCCCTGGGGTCAGAGCACAACCTGTGCATCTGGGGTGGGTTTCTGCCCACTGGTAATTGCTGCTTTAGAAAGCTTATCTCATTTATAAGAGCTTATCTCCCTATAAGAGCTTGTCTTATAGGGAGCAGGAGGAGGAAGTGGTTGTACCTTCAGATAAAGTTCCCCATAGTTTAACTTGACCAGCAGGTTCTAGTGGAAAATTGGGAATTTTCTCATGCTGCCAGAAAATCTTATTAAGTCTGAAATACACCTTTTTTTCTAAAAAACAAGGATAGCCTGGGGACAATGATTTCCTGCTGTCCTTACTGCTTTTAGGCATGCATTTATCAAAACAATACCTGCTGCTGCTATTGCTTTATGGGGGTTGGTCTCGATGATCTCTAGAGGTCCCTTCCAACCCCTACAATTCTGTGATTCTTATTAGGAAACAAAAAAGCACGGCATTACTGCTGGGGTTTCCTGGAGCTGTGCTGCTGACCTTTACTGTGTGCTTTAGAGGCTTGCCATTATTTAGATCTAGATGAGGAGAAGCAGGATCTACCTGCCCTAAGACGTCCATCATGTTAGCATAAATAATTCTGGGCAGCATTTCACACCAAACAGCCTTTGTGTTTTGGGGCTGGTGGCAAGCTGGTTTCTTTAGTGCTGCATCTGTACTCTTCCTAGCAAATGCATTAAAATCATTAATTGCAGACTTGGAATAACGTGCTCTGTAAAGACTTGATCATGTGCAATATTTTCACAAGTCACTACAGTTGCCCCAGCAGCCTTGAATTCCAGCTGCTGTGCTTGGGATGCAGGTGCTGACAGCTGCTCTGTGCTGTACTTATGGACATAGTCCTGAAACTGGGGATTTTGCAGCAGTGCCCTCCCTGTGCCAATCATTACAGCTGATGGAAAATTGGTTAAAATGTGGAGGGTATTAAAATCCCATAGAACAGACGAGGCTTGATTCTTGTGTATTTGACGAGCATTTACTGCTTGCATCAAGGTTACTTTCTTGCCTATGGGTTTTAAGTCACAGTACATTTTTCACTTGACAGTGGCACTCTGGCCACGTGCAACTCAGAAAATACAAAGATGAGTGCCTTAAAGAGCTTCTAATTGAAGCTATATGGACACAGAATGCTCAAAATTATGAGAACACGAAGTGCATTGAGTTTTGTCCTGAGGGCTCTGTGGAAGGAATGAGCCTTGGTGGGATTCACTGTGTGTCTTTACCTTACAAGCCACAAGAGTGAGTCATTTAATATAGAAAAAACTCATGTGGAACACAAAGCCCACAAGAGGAAGCAATTAAACTAAATCGACCATGGCTTCCAAATGGAGATGTGCAGTCTGCCAGGAATTATGAGGTTTCATAGTGTGCTGCTTTGTTTTTTCATCCTATTAGCAATCGCTGAATGAACGGCACAAGCTCTTGTCTAGACAACGGGAGGATGCAAAGGACCTGAAAGAAAACCTGGATCGCAGGGAGCGGGTGGTGGCTGGGATCCTTGCCAAATACCTGACCGACCAGCAGCTCCAGGCCTACAGGCACTTTGTGCAACTGAAGACCTCTTTGTTGATTGAACAGAGGGACCTCGAAGAACAGATCAAATTTTTCGAGGAACAATTAGAAAATCTAGAGAAAAGCATCCCTCTCTAATAACAGCGGGCTGTCCATTTGTATATGTGATATTTGTGATGTTTTCCTGGGAATCCATGGGCGCTCACTGCACGGAGTTTGAGCTCTTGCAATCCTGCTAGTGCCACAGTATTGACGGGTGCTTAGATGCTCTAGGCACAACTGGATGTGCTTTTCCGCTTGGATTGGGCAGGTGACAAAATCCTGTGGTGTAGCAGACTGCACTTTGGGAATGGCTGCTGGGACATCTTGCTCCCATTAATCTGGCGTGTATTTCCCCTTCTTGTTGTCTGTCCATCTGTTTCCAGGTTGACATAATCTCAATAAAAGAACGGCGTAAACATTTTCCTTTTGTGGATGGGTTGAGTAGTCAGAATGAGAAATGATGTGGCTGTTTGGATTTGGAGATTGAACGAAGCCATAGGGATTACTGTGGATCGTTTCAGTGAAACTCTTGCACTCATTTCTGCTGTTTACGTGTACATAGAACAGAATAGAAATACACTGCAGTGGATGAGCATATTTATTTTCTTTCTCAGCAGTTGCCACCTGCACATCTCCTGGCTCCGTGTGGTCCAGGTGAGTGCTGATCAGATGGAATCAGCTGAAATGGGCCCTTCTCTCAATGATAGCCTCTGAACTCATTCCTGCATGCTGTGTTTGCAAACTCCTCACGGTGCTTCTGAAGTGTTTATTTTTCACACAGCACCTTCTGGGGCTGATTTTAAGTCATTTCCAATTGTCAGCATGCACAAGAAGTGCTGAACGTGGGCAAAAAGCTTTGCTGAGGGAAAAGGTACGTGGAGAAAGTGGAGGAAATAATTCAATTTCATGAGCTTTTATATGAATCCCTTGTCAAAAATCTTTCAAACCAGTGTTGTGTGCTGAGCCAAACCAGTGATATTTATCATATGGATGACTGTTTTTCTTTAAGTATTCAGTGACAGGAATATTCAGGCTGAGCTGTGTGCCCAGATCATGAATCAGGTGGCTGCTTATCAAACTGGGGATTCTGCCCCTGGCAAAATGGGTTTCCATTGTTCCATGGTGCCAGGCATTACCCAGAGATCCTTCACTGTCTGTGTGTGTGCTGACTGCTCTCCTGCTGCTGTGGCCATTCAGCTCTGTCTGTGAGCATCCGCATCCTCTGGGCTTCACAAAGCTTTAAATATCTCATAACCACCCAGAACGGGGCATTGACCTGAGCATGAATAAATGGTTTTAGTTTCACATCAGATCACGTTTTCCATTTGAGCTTACCCACTGAGCAGCATGAACTCAAGAAATAACACTGTCCAGAAGGGTGGCCATCGTCTGTGCTGTGTACAAGCAAAGCTCACTGAAGGTAACATGGCAGCCCACCCACCTGCAGAAGGAGGGAACCCAGAGTGGCTCCATGTACTGCACCTCTCACAGCCCACCTGGGAGCAGCACTGCAGGCAGTGCAGGTTGCAGCTGCTCTGTCTTTGCTGTCAGTGAGTGCAGCGTTAGGTGCTCCCCCAGCTCTGACAAACAAGCATTTGTGGGCCCTCAGCTTGCATATTTATGCAGGAGTATCAGTAGCCCTGCTCATGTTTCCAGAGAAACAGCGTGGTGTGGTGGTGTGGTGTGCCCTGCAGAAGGCTGGGAAGGGCTCACCTCAAAAGTCTGTTCTGTGATGTGCCCCAAGTATCAGTCAATGTGTTCGTAATGATGTGTGCAGGTGGATGGTGTGTACAGCAAAGAGAAGCTTTGTGGATATTAACACTTAGTTCCATTGATCTGAACAAAACAGATTGTGTTTAGTGTCAAATCCACTGTTTTGCTGGGCACTGGACTCCAGCGTGCAACAACCCTGGTGCTTCACTGAATGGCTGCTTTACCCCAGTTTACCTCATTAGATTAAACCAGAATTTGAAGTCTTGAAGGTAGGTGAAGAATGGGGCAATATATCAGTGCCAGCTGACGCTGCTGCAAAATCTGCAGTCTCTCCTAGGAGACCAATTAGAAACATGTGGTTCTTTTGCAATTTGAGCTAAAGGAACTGGATGGAAATAAATTGAAGTTAACGCTTGCCTTGAATGGAAAGGATGGGTCCACACAGCCCAGTTTCTCTTGCCTTTTTGGTCTTTTGCATCATGCAGGAGATGTTTGTCTGGATATCAGGTGGGTCTCTGTTGTGATGCTGATCATCTGTAATTGTTTCATTACTGGTGGCAGAGCCTGAGGCAGCTGCTGGTCCTGGGGGTATGTCATGGGCAGCATTCCTGGCACATCTGCATACAGAGGTGTTTGCTTTTAAAATCCCAGTCTGATGTACCAATACAAATGATTTAACCCAAGCCCAGATTAAGAGCTTCACAGGGCGTCTCAGTGCATGGGAGCAGCCCTGTGTACTTTGGGTAATGGTCTGACTGTAGTGGCACACAACCTTCTCTGTTACCTGCAAGAGCAAGGGATGCTTTGATTGGCCACTGCATCTCCTTTTGGCAGCATGGAGTGGCACTGAGGTGCTGGGTACGAGCTCCTCTCAGGAGGCCAGTGTTATTTACTCCTAGCTGCTGGGATGGGGCACAGCATCGGGTCACTGGCCTCAGCAGCTGAGCTCAGGTCTCTTTGTTTCTTTCTTTCCTTCCCTCCTTGTAGCACAGATGTTAAGATGGTCACAGATTACTCCAGCAGTGACACAGAGCCAACCTGAGTGAGGCCATGGAAGCGCTGATGCTCTGATCTCCTCCCAGCTACTGCACAGATCCCTGGAGAGCTGTTAGCATGGGGCTGCTGAGCCTTTGGGTGAGCAGAAAGCCAGGGCTGCATGTGTGTCCTGGGGGGACAGAAGGAGCCCAGCAGCTCCCTGCGTCTGGGGTCTCTGAGGCAGCAAAGCCTCATGTTGCAGCCCACAGCCCGGTGCTGGAGGTAATCTGACCACTCCCCAGGAGAGGACAGTGACCTGAAACCTGCGGGAGCATCTGTATGAATTACAGATACAGCTAAGTCCAGGTGAATGCAGAGTAACTGCCTAGGGGAAGGAAAGGGGTGAAACATGTAAAATGTGAGAGCCTCGATCTTCTTGAGGGTGCAGGCTGCTAACAGGGCCTGCAAATTGTGTCCTAAGTCATTTGGCCATCCGTGCACAAGAGCTGTGGGGGAAGGAATTTCAGTAGCTTATATTCTGCTCAGCAAGAGTGGGCCTGATTTCAGGATAAAAAGACAACTTGTATTGCCTAGAGCCAGAGCGATGAGCAAATATTGCAGGTGTGGGTGAGAACAAGTGGCCAGAGGAAGAACACGCATTCTGCCCGTGTGACAGTGCCTTGGCAGCAGCCGTGGGGATTTTAGAAGTAGTGACTCACTTAGGATTTGATTTAACGCCCACTGCAATGTGTGGGAGTCACTGCTGGATCAGGAGCTGCTGCTTCAGCTTCTCAGGCACTAAATTGAAAGCATCAAACATTTTTTTTCTTAGCCTGAACCTTGTTTTCTTCCCAGGGCGTTGTGCTGTGGGCCTTGTGCCTGCAGAGCTAATTAAGGAAGGGAGGGGTGCTGAGGTTGATGCAAATCTGCTCTGCTAAAGATGTACTTGGTGCTGCTGAGAGCTGTGTTTAATAAATAGAAGGAGGTTCTCTTTGCATTGGGAATTCATGACAACCATTTGAATAAAATCTTAAAAATAAGTTCAGAGCAGCATTGCAAAGCTCATCTCCTGCACCCTGAGGGAGCCCATGGGAGCATTACAGAGTAATCAGGCAGTAGGAATCATGTAACCTCTGGGTTTAACAAAATGCACTCAAGAAGCAGCTCATGAATTTCACTGTTAAACAGCCAGAGGCATTAAAGGTTTTATGAAATTTTAAAATGCCACATGAGCCGTGGAGCTGAGTCATCTCAGACACCTACAGGGGAAAAAAACATGGGCTGAGCTGGTAGTCTTCTTCTGGAGATTAAAAGACACTTCTGAAGATGTGGTGAGCAGCCAGGTGTCTGTAAAGGTCTTCATGCAAGAACGTCCCACAGCACCTGGAGAAGAATCCCCATGTGGAGTGATCCCTTATGGCATCCCCAGCCCCACGGCAGCTCCTGCAGCTCCACGAGGTAAGAGTGCCCAGTGCCAGCATGAGCTGACAGCAGCGCAGTGGGGCTGAGCGGTTCCTTGGATGGGCAGAGCTGCTTGGAAAGCCCTGCACTCAGCTGCCCTGCTTTGCTTAGCTGTGGCCGCAGGAAACAGGTGGAGGAAAACACAAGAGAAAACATGGTCACAAGTCTGCACATGCTGCAGGGTGCTGCTGGGATGGTGTTATTGATGTGGCCTTGCTGAGCCCGTCTGTGTCCCACAGGAGACACTGCCAGCAGTGCAGCTGTTCAGAGGGAGCACGGTGCCATGCACACACACAGCATGCGGCCACCTCACCTGAATGGCCAGGAATTTCTGTGCCATGGTTTGTCTTCCATGTGCTTTGCTCTTTCAATATGGTGTTTATGGGACAGATGCTTGCCAGCCATGGTGTCTGCTGGCATGCAGGGCAGCAAAGCCCTGGTGTGCACAGCACTTACAGCTTTTGCCAAGTGTTGTGTGTTTGGGTGCTGTGTTGTGCTCAGTGAAAATGAAAGTTCCATGGCTCCTCAGTGAGGTCTCCTATCTCAGCTGGGGAGTTTCGAGGTGAGGGGGATGGGGGAAGGAAGGGCAGGAGGAAAGTAATTCTTCCTGTTACAGCATCTCCTGCTGTAACCCCTCTGGTAACCGACTGCCCAAGGAGCAGCAGTGGCTGCTGCCACTTGCAGCAAGCAGTGCTCAGCAGTGGCTGGATCCTGGGCTGCACACCCATCACTGCTGCTCAATGCTGTGACTGCAGCAGTTGTGATGTACCCTGCCAGCTGCTGAAGGGTTTCCTCAGCTGTTCCTCAGACAGAGAAGGCGAGAAGGGAGGTAGGAAAGGGGAAGCATTGCTTTGGCTGCAGCTCTTCCCACTGGCGATGAAAAACAGGCCCTGGCTGTGATGTGCTGTTTTCCTGGCGGTACACAAATATAAAGACACTGCAGTCAGTGACAAGCTGAGCTCAGCATGAGGGTAAGAGGTGCTTAATGATTTGCCTTATAAATTAGTGAAATAAATCTTGGAACTGGAATGGAAAATGAATGTTCCTCATTATGCTGCAGAGCTTTTATATTTGCTCTGGGAGGGAGAATGAGGACAAACAACATGTTGTTTGCGCCCATGCTACATGGAGCCAAGTCTGTGTCAGTGACCTCCTCACAAATTTGTAGGGTCCCCCTTTAGTACCAATCATCAGAACAAAAATGACCACTTTGCCATTTTGCTCAGACTAATGTGTAAGTCAGGAATGCATCCAAGGAATGTAGGGCATGGTGGAAGAAGGACAGTGCAATGGGAGCTCAGAGGGGGCTGTTCCCTGGGCGCTCTGCTCCCTTTAGGCCTGCAGTGACTGAGCTGCTCTTCTGCTGGACCTCAGTCTTGTGAAGAAGCTGAAATCTTGTAACTTCTCCTTAGCAGGACAGGGCCAGACCCTTTGTTGCGATGGCACAGCAGGCAGCTCACCAGACCGGCCTGCAGCTGGTGGTTAAGCTTCTCAGCTCCCATTCACTTGTGCCAAAGTCCTTCAGCTGGATTTGGGATTGAAACAGCAGAACGCAAGGAGAATTGAGTCAGCTGATGGATTCATAGGGCAGCATTAGCCTTAGTCTCTGCCACAAAACTACTCCCATGAGTTGGTGAGAATTCTGTACCACATCCCCTCCCGCGTAAACAGCAACATACAAAACCAGGACCCAGAGAAGCTGAAGAACTGGTTTTACTGCAAGCTGAACATATCTATATTTGTCAAATTGCAGCAGTGCGTTCTCTGTACTTCTGAGGATTTGTTTGCACCTGAAGTCCTACAGCATCGCTCAGCACAGCCTGCCCAAACACCACCTCCTCCCCCATCTCTCAGCAAGGAGTGAGCTGCGTCACGGCACAGAGGTGCTGGCAGCACCCAGCCCTGTGAGCTCCGTGTGTCGCAACCTCTGCTGGGTGCACTGCAGGGCCAGGGGCTTGGGCACAGCACCAGCACCAGCTAACTGCAGCACCTCACAGCAAAGAATACTGCAGAGCTTCCTGGCTGGCACTTGCTGCAGTGAAGTCAGTTATCTCAGCTGTGACTTCTTGGTTTCGCTTTGAAGCAGCCCCCTGCTTTCCTCATGGTGTAGCTGCAACCGAGCTGTACTGGTTGTTGGCTTTTAAAACTGAAAATGCTCCATCTTTGTGCCTTGCTTCTGCTGCAGATTGGATTTACACCAAAGAAGCGCTAAAGGTTCAGCAGTGTGATATGAAGAGGCACAGCCAGGGGCACAGGCACAACTAGCAGACAAACTTCCAAATAAGACTGACTCAAACTGGAGCCGTTTCCCAGCTGCCACAGGATGCTGTCCCCAGGCAGCCCCAGCTGCCAGCAGTAACACAAACGCACACAAATGCCTCTGGTTTCAAGAGCTACAGCAAAGAAAGTGTTTAATGTCACAAAAACATTGAAACGGACATTTTCCTGCAGCCCCAAGAGCCAATTTGAGCTGAAGCACAAAACCAAGGCTTCAAACAACCACACTGGTCAGCAGTCACTCCAACACCTATGGAGCAAATAGGATCATTATTATTGTTTTTAACCCATCTCCGGATGTATAAGTCACAAGGTGCTTGATCATTAGCATTCAGTTAACGAGTTTGACACAGAAACAGAGTGACAACAAATGAATCCGTCTGTGAGAGCAGCAGCTCAGCCCCTCCTGCAGGCAGCACCACATTGGGGCAGGGGCACAAAGGAGATGGAGTCACCTTCAATGTGGTCCTACGGCACTAGGCTTAAAGCAAGGCTGAAAGACACATTCCTGGAGTCACTGGCTCGGAAAGAAAGGCAAGGCATGCAAACCAGTGTTGCAAGGAAACCAAAACACCTGACTGGAGCTGAGAGCAGAGCACACGCAGAGCTCTGTCACCTCTGCTCACACAGCTCGGCGGCTGCGTTGTGAGCACAGAAGCACTGCAGGCAGCTGCTGCTCTCAGCTCTGCCTCTTCATTTCAAGGCAGCTTTAAGTGAGTAATTTAAAAACCGATAATCTCATTGCAGACGTAGCTCCGAACAGCTCTCCAGCTGCAAGTCAAGCGCGCCGCTCTACTTAAGAAAAACAATTACGTCTATAATACAGGAGACAAAGTAAAGCGAGTTTCAGATCAGCAACTCATGCAGTTGAGATACACACTGCTTTCAGAGGCCATGCACACATTTGACCATGAAACACCCAACAGAACAAAGCCCGTTTTTTAAATAAATATTGTTTCCAAATAGCTCAAAACCGAAGTTCAAGTGTTAAATAAAAAAAATCTGCCGCAGCAGCCTCAGTGCTGCTCAGATACCCTGCAGGATCCGATTCCTACTTTCTCACTTCATTTTATTATATCATCTGATATCAAAAATGTGTTCATTCAGATGAAGCCACTGAACTGCAGCCAAATGCTGACAGTATCAAGGCACAGTCGGTACCACCTGGGCAAAGTCCTGCGGGAAGGGAACACAAAGAGAAATGCAAACCGAGCTTCGAACTGAGGTAGACAGATCATGGAGACAGAGCAACAAGGGTTGGGGTTTTTTCCTTTTTAACCCTGCCAAGGAAAATGCTTTAGGCGACAATAAAGACATGTTAGTATTTCTGAGAGCGAGAAACTTTGTTTTGAAAAAACTAAATGCACAATTTTAAAATAGAAATTTTCCTCTTCTGTTACCAAAACAATCAGAATCATCATAGAAAACTATGCGTCTTTCTCGTAATAATTTCAGCCTGCTGTAGAACAAGCCACGTTAAAGCAGCCAGCTACCAGCGTGCTGTTCACAGTGTAAAACACGCAGCTCTTCAGCTGAGGAATGCAGAACAAGAAGCTGTACCTTAAGACATTGATAGCCTGTCTACACACAGACGTTGTTCCAGCTTTTCAGCCATGAAGTGTGATGTTTGTGGTCGTCATTGGTGTGCTGGTGCCTATGGCACTGCAGTGCTCACAGGGCAGCTCCCTCTCCTCAAGCTTCTGAGAGCTGGGCTTCATCCAGTGACCTGTGGAGCCAGACCCCATCAGCCATTCAGTTAAACTTCCAAAAAGAAAGACACGGGGAGAAGAAATCCCATTGACTTCTGTGAGAGAAAACCAAGCTCCCCAGTCACGCTACTGAACGATTGTGACCCCAGGAAGGCAGAGCCTAATGGCCAAAGAACAGCTCAGAAACCGGCCTGCGCTTCATGACAGACTCCTCGTGCTCCTCCTCCTCCACCACCTCGGAGAGCGAGCAGTATGAAGGAAATCCCCCTCTGGTTTTCGGCTTCCTCCTGGGGCCTGTGGTGGCAGTCAGCAGCTTGTTCAAGGACGAAGGCTTCCTCAAACCTTTGGTGAGATCGTAGAAAGCCATGTCATCGGATATGACCCCCAGGAAAGTGCTGGTGGAGCTCAGGATGGACGCAGCGATCTTGGTGCTCTTCTTGATGGGCACCGCGGGTCCCGTGGGGTGTTGGAGTGTAGGGTCCCCCAGTAAGCGCCTGACTGCCACAGAGGTCCCATCCTTCAAGTACTGGTGTGGCTTCTTCCCGCTGTAGTCCCTCAGGTCGATCTTGGCATGGTAGCTGCGGACCAGAACAGAGATGACGGCGTCCCGGCCATGCATGGCAGCGAGGTGCAGCGCCGTGTAGCCGCCGTGAGACCTGGCGTCCACGTTGACGTGGGCCCCTTCCTTCCCTGCTACATCGATGATGTTCCTCACCATGTCGCAGTTGCCATTCTTGGCGGCCCAGTGCAGGGCGGTGAAGCCCGAGATGAAGTCCCTGCGGGCTGCCAGGCTGGCATCACCCAACAGTAGCCCGTGGAGCTGCTGGGACCACTGCCCCTCAGCCGCCATCAGCAGCCAGCGGTGCTCAGCCTCCTCCAGCGGCACTTCTGTCAGCTCCTCGCTGGCCCGGTGATTCTTGGGGACCCGGCGCAGGCTGGGCGAGTGGCACCCGCCGTCCTCCTCATCGGGTAAGGGCGATGCGGCGGTCTCCGGCATTTCGGACCGCCCCGAAGCTGCAGCGGAGTTGGGAGCAGCCGGGGCCGGCACGCAGCGCACCGGCAGCATGCAGGGCTTGGGGGGCGGCTCCCTGCGGGCGTTTGCCCCGCCGGCGGGCAGCGGCACCCCGCCGCCTCCAGCCTGGAAGAGCCCGCGGAGCTCGGACACGGCCCGAGGCGACGGCAGCTCCTCGGGGGACGGCGAGGACAGCCGCTCCTCGGACGGGGGCTCGGAACCTCCATCCCCGCGCTGCTCCGGGGGCGGGCCGGGCCGCAGGTGCCTCCGCAGCACGACGAACTTGGTGCCCTGCCGCTCCTTCACCACCGCCACGGCGTTCACCGCCTCCTTGAAGCGCTCCCGCCGCTCCGCCCGCTCCGACGCGTCCCCGCCGGCCTCCAGCAGCGGCCGGAAGGCGCTCAGCAGCTCTGCGTTGCTCGCCCACCCGCCGCGCTCCCGCAGGAAGCCCAGCACGGCGGCGGGGCCGAGGGCGAGCTCCGCCATCCCGCAGCCACAGGTGGGGCCGCCGCCGCCCGCAGCGCTCCGCCGCCCGAACCCCCCGAGGCGGAGCTGCCGGGACCGGCGGGCAGCGCGCACCTGCGGGCCGAGGTGATGGAGCCGCCCGCTCCGCCGCCTCCGTCGATGGGAGCGGAGCGGGGCGGTTCGGCCGCGCCTCTCTCCTTTCTCCTCCCCGCGGGGCGGTGCTGCGCTGCCGGCGCTCCCGGGCAGGTGCGGGGTGAGGGGCAGGTGAGGGGCAGGGACGGCCCGGCTCCCTCCGCCGCTCTCCTCCTCCCGCCCCCAAGCGTGGGTTGGACGCGGCAGCCGGGCTCTCGGGGCCAACTTTGTTTGCTGGAGTATTTAACCGCAGAGTTTCTGGAACCGCGTGTTTAGCTGGAGGGGCTGGGGGAGAAAGGAGACTCGGCTGCTCGGGGAAGCAGTGTGTGTCCCCCGTCTGTCCCCATCTCCGCCCCCCCGGGCTGTGACAGACGTCACCTCCCCGCAGCAGCAAAGCGCAGCCGCGCGTCCCGCTGTGTTCGTTGTGTTGCAGGAGGAGGTTCACTCGGGTTTCTCACCCAACGCTCCATCGGCTGGTTCCTCTTTCAGCTCTCTACAACGGTGGTTTGGGGCTCGGCGTTGGCTGTTGGCGCGGCTCTGAGCAGCGGTTGGAGCTCTGCTCCCAGCGCCCGTCTGTGGCTCCGTGACTGCGCCCGGCACGAATGGGAGCAAAAGGATGGGTGGATGGCTCTGCGCTCTGAAATACGTTCTGTAGCGTGTGCTACTATGTGTCTGAGTGTATCTATGCTGTGTGTTTGTCTTTTGGCTGCTTAATACCTACTACAACACGCGCAACTGTATCACTGATGAAACCTTCACAGCATGCCTGCGCCTATTTGTGTGCATCTGACAGAGGAGAGGTGTTCTCTTTTCGTACAGAGAACTGTCTGACTGTGCTGCCATATCAATTACTTCTGCTTAAGCACTTCTCTTAATGTAATTATTGTTCTCAGCTCTACAGAAGAAAAGAAGCCTCAGAGAAACGCCTTTCCCCAGGAGGAGGAGGAGGGCTGGAGCCCTGCTGCAGGGACAACACTCAGGCACAAACTTGTTTTCTCCTCTGCTGAGTGTTGTGATTGAGATCAGTGAATCAATTCCTGAGTGACTGAACAGTTTGTCTAGGAAAACAGCAAGAGAGAGAACACAAAGCAAGCAGAGTCAGCGCGGCACAAAGACAGACAAAAGTAGCTCTCTGCGTGAGGATGGATGAGAAAAACAGAAAACAGGCTTTTGTTCTCCCTGCCTTAGAGTACAACTGAAATGGAATCTCAGCCTGTGCCCAAATCTCCATTTTGAAGGCGGCTCAAGGTGCAGCAGCCTCCACGCAGCGCACCTCTCTCCTTCCTGCCTCTCCGCACCCATTTGTGGTGATGGAAGGGATTGCTCAGTCCTTCCTTTGGCAGCCTTTCCCCTCCCGGCTCCATCCTTGCGTGCAGATCTCCAAAAAGCTATTTTATCTCTTGCTCACAAGCTGGCTCAGTGCCAGCTCCTCAAAATCGTTGTGCTGCTTCAGTGTTCTGTCACGCAATGGCACGCGGTCCTTGTGCTGCTCAGAGCAATTCAGTGCTTCTGTGGGCATCGCACACCTCTCATTACTGCCTTCAGACGTGGCTGTGCAGTAGCCCTCTGCTGAGAGAGCTGCTCGTGTGGGGGGTTTCACTGTATTAAGCAATGCTTTCCAGCTTATGGCATCCCTGCAGATCTGCCTTGCCTACTGCAGAGAGCTAATAATGAGCATCCCAAAATGAATTGCTATGGCTTGATTTCAACGTTAATCGTTCTTTCTTACTGGAATCTCTTGCAGGCATAAAAGAATCTCAGCAGTCCCTGATGCTGGCATTGCAAACCTTCAGCTGTGCACTGGGAGTAGAGTTCATACCTGACAATGAGCAAGAAGGGGGGAGGAGAAAACAGTTCTGAAGGATAGGCTTTTTTAATAAGGCATTTCCTTAACTTACAGCAGAAGTTAAGCTGTTTGAATGAATGTAATTAATATAGATAATAAATGAGCCCAGAGCACTGTGGGCATTGCTTACCCATCATCTGGAACTGCCAGCCTTAAAAACCACGAGAAGTTCTGCTGCTTCTTTTATGCCACCAAAAACCTATAAAGCAAATATTTTGTGTGAGGCTATTTAGGGATCTCTGTGGGCTGCTTTCAGGAGATTTCAAGCCAACTGTTACATGTCTTGATATTTCAGATTTACTGGCTGGGACAAAAGCAATGTACAGAAACCCACGATTCATTTGAGGCTGAGTCTGCCACCCCCTCAGGTGAGGAGGGCAATGGCCTCGTGGCTGCAATTATTCATACCACAAAAACCCTGGAAGTAAACTGGGAGATAAAGCACTGCATCGCAGCAAAGGAATGTCTGCGGCACTTCAGAACTGAAGGAGACAGCATCTCAGGTCCTGCTCCTTCCCACCAGGAAGGTGAAGTGCTATGGGGGAAGCAAAGGAGGAAGGAAGGGGGGATGTGTGGGGCAGCTGCAGTTGGATGTGGCTCTGCTGCTTTGCAGGAAGGTGAGCTTTGGCTGTGCTGGCTGCCAATGGCATTTCTACCTCCAGGAGAGCTGACTTTCCCTGAAATGAAGTCAGAACAAGCAGAATGACAGCACTCACCATTTTTCAGTTTCACTGTTGATATTTTCATGTAAACAAAGAGCATGCACTGTGAGGGGGAAACAGCTCCTCCTTTGTTCTCTGGAGAAATGCAGTAACCTTCAATGGATAAACAAGCAAGCGAAAGTCTGGGGAGTGGTGGGGGCGAAGGCTGTTTGCAGATAAAAGGCAGCAAGGTTCAGCTGTAACACCAGGATCTCAGCCATTCAGATGCAGCTATTCACATGTCTCAGAGTTTGTGGTTATAAAACATTGTTTATTCCACACAGGTGGTGGCATGACCTGCCCCAAACATCCCATTTTTCAGGTGGTGCCCATAAACTTGGTGGGTTCTGCCAGAAGCAACTGCACTGTCATTCCAGCAGAGCGATGCAAACCTGGCAGAGGTGCAGTGTGGGAATGCTGCCCTTCAGTGCAAAGAAGCAGGAAAATCTGGGGTCTGTTTCCAGCCATCCCAGCCACACTGCTGGGACCAGTCAGGAAATGGACCACAACTCCCACTGACCCTTCTTCAGGCTCAGGAAGATGACAGCACTTCTGTAGGAAAGCCTTCTAAGTCCCATACATTGTCAGTGTAACCAGCGAAAGTTGAACGAGGTTCTTGGTGGTTGTGCTGCTATAAACTACCCCAAACCATTTGATTTGTAAAGCTACCCAGGGGGAAGCACTGCATGAAACAGTTACCAACAAGCTGCTTCCTCTGGCCTGCGTTGCAGAATGTGAGAGGGTTGTGTTTATCTGCACCACCTGGATTGGAGGACCAAGGATTCTCATAGCACAGCTGAAAGCCAGAGCCAAGCATCAGCACTGCTGCAGTGCCTTGGAATCTCCTTCAAGTGGTGGAATTTCCTTTATGCCGTGGATCTTTGCATCTGACCTGAGGCTCAGGGATCCCAGCAGCTGTTGGGGATCAGCCTGTGTGAGCCTCCTGCAATGTCCTGTGCTGCATGGTCAGGGAAAAGGGCTCTTAATGAATGGCACTCAATGCACCTGGCATAATGGGATTTAAGCAAGTGTCAAGCAAGAACGTTGTGTTGTCTTAAATCAGGACTGCAAAGATTGCTTGTAATAGAAAAGAAAAAAGGAGTAGTTATTAAACATCAATGTCTGTTCATCTTTGCTTCTTTGTGACATACAGAGAAGGCCTAAAAATGAATCTCTGTCTCTATACAAGCAGTTCTACTTGCATCTGAAAACCAGAAAATCCAGATTTGGGTTCAGGGAGAACTGCAGAACCTTCAGGATCAGCAACAGGACTGCTGTGTGAGCGCCTGTTCTGGATAGCATCTCTGGCAGGCCTAAGTGAGCAGCGCAGCTTTGCTACCCTTGGCAGCTCCAGCGCAAGGCAGCACAAACCAAGAGCTGGTTGTGACTGCAAGATACTTTTTTTTATCTTCTCTTTTTTGTTATTTTTGGAGTCGAGAGAAAATAAATCAATGGATGGTGGTCAGCAACACCCTTTGTAGCAGAATACAACGCTGTCTTCAGCCAGCACAAATGCACGGACTATCAGAACTCATTCAGCTGTGGGTACTTCACTCAGGAAAGCTCTTCTTAACTGCACTGGATTGACCATATTTCAAAAAGCAGACAACTTGAATAACAGCTCCTCAGAAAATGCCTTGAAATTGCTTCAATGGCAAATACAACCTGCTTCCTGATCTCCAGTCCTCTGAGCACGAGCACTTGATGACCTTTGCCTCCTCCATTCATTAATCTATGCTTAATTTTCATATCCTGTTTTATTCCTCCAGGACAGCACAGCCACCTCCTGGGATGAACAGTGCAATGCAGAGCTCCTGCAGTGCGATTCATGTGAGTCCTCAGGAGAGCTGGGATGAGTTGGGAACACGCTGGGGTGTAACACACCATCTTGCACTGCTGTAATGCAGCAACCCCGTGCCTGCCAGCACAGTGCAGGCTCACTTATTTATACTGTGGTGGGAGCAAGAGACCTTTGGACAGATCACAAATAGCTGGCAAGGGAGAAGATGGAAGTTAATATGGAGCGCAGATCATAGAGTGTTATAATGAAGTATAAGTTCTGCTTTAATTTGGTTGCTTGAGGTCTTCAAATGTGCTTTAGGGCACTCCAAGGGCTGTGCTTTCATGGATGATGAATATAAAGGAACTGACATAGTGGCTGTCCCCCCTTTGCTTTCTCTTATCAAGAGGTTGAAACGTGGCGAACCTTTTTAAAAGGCAAAACAAGGTTATTCATTGTTTCCTAATAACTGGAGCTTTATAATTACATCATCACAATTAGGTAATGACTCTACTTGAGGCCTTTCTTTGTGCAGGATGCTGGAGCTCAAGCTGCGGTGGTGTGGGACCACCTGAGTTGATAACAATGAGTCCTGCAGACAGAACCACCCCAGGTAAGCTCTGCCGGGTCTGTTCCTTGGGAGGTGGCTGCATGCCTTCACCTCCCACTTCCTCCCGTGCTGCAGAGCATGCCTTCCTCTTCCTCCCAGGCTGTCACTCTGGCTATTTGTTCCTCCTCACATCTGAGCAGCACCAGTTAGGGCTGAGGTTGGTAAAGAATGCTTAGAAAAGAGGTCTGAGTGCGTGTCCAAAGGCACTGAAAGGATTCCCGCTGTGCTCACAGGAACCGCTGCCTTTTTGTTCAGACAGCAGCTTTTCACTGACCCCCATGCGTAGCAAGTTGTCAGCAGAGCTGACCTGCCTGGGGACCTCGGTGTGCTTTTGCACTCTTTGCCCAGGCTCACGTTCCATTTGGAGGCACAGACTGCTCCAATAAAGGATGGGGAGGGAAAAACGAGGACATCGGGGATAAACTGATGTAAAGAGCGGGGAAAGCTGAGGCGTGCCGCACGACGGGGACGCAGGTCGGGTGTGGAGAGCGAGCCGGTGGCTCTGAGCAGCTCCTCTCGGTAGGAACGCTGCAGCAGAGGGCACCACAAAGCAAGCAAATCTCCGCTCTGAGCTAACAGCTGGCGGAGCGCCGCAGAGGTGCCGGAAGGGAGCACTTCAACTTCAGCTCGCTGTAAGCAGCGGGCAGCGAAACAAGCCCAGAGATCACGCAACCCGCCGTCGCTGCGGTTCGCGTCCGCTGTCGTTGCAGCGCAGGGGCCCGACGGCACGCGGACCATCGCTGCGGTAACAGCCGAGCCCTCGTAGCTCCGGGCGGCGCCCCCAGCGGAACGGAACGGCACGCACCGCCCGGACCTCCCGCAGGCGGCAGCGCGGGGCACCCCCGGCCCTGAGCGCAGCGGCCGCCCCCGGGAGGCGACCGTGACGGCACGGCGGCCGCTCCCGCCCCTCCCCGCCCCTCGACCGGTGCCGGCGGAGGGGAGTTTCCAGGAAGTGGCCATATTGGATCCATTCAGCCGCAGCCACTCGGGGCGGGCAGAGCCCCGCGCCGCGCTCAGCTCCGGCCATGGCCGCCACCGACCTGGAGCGCTTCTCGGTGAGGAGCGGGGCGGGTTGGGGGCTGCGGGCGGCTCCCGGCGCCGGCGGGCCGAGGAGCGCTGCCCGGCGTTGTGTAACGGCGGTGGGACGCGGGCTGCCCGCATCGGCACGGCGGGCTGTGCGGGGCTGTGCTTGCTGCGGGAGGGCTGTGCGAGCTCCGCAGCCCGGTGGCGCCTCTTGAGGGCTTGTAGCTATAAAAACCTCTTTCCCGCACGAAATAGCGGAGCTCCGAAGCGAGGACTGCTGAGCGTGATGCTGCTAAATCAGTGGGAGCGGCGGCGGTTCCCGGATCGCCGGCGTGCTGCTCGGGCTCGGCCCTGCCGCCCTTCCCTCTGTGGCTGCTGCTTGCCAGCAGCCTCCAACTGCTGCGTTCCTCCCGGCCCCGAAGTTTCCATCTCGGAATTGCATTTGCAGGAGTGGAGCTGACCCGAAACTCGCGCCGCGTACAGCGCGCTGTGGGCTCCTTTCTAAGCGGGGAATGCTGCTGAGCTCCGGGCGGGCGGTTGGTGCGGAGCCCCGGAGGCAAAGCGCGGAGCAGCGAAGCGGGGCTGCGTTGGTTCGGTGTATAAATACCCGTAAGGCCGCCTCGCTGTGCCAGCTGGTGCTGCTCGGCTTTTCTTAGGTGTTACAGAGCTCTAAATGCTGCCGAGCCTGGGTGCGAGCCAATTTAATTTAGGTGTCTTCGGTGCGGGTACTTTGGTGCTCGGTGTGCTTACATCCATGTGCTGTCGCCTTTTTTTTTTTTTTTTTTTTTTGTCTTAAATAAAAGTTCCTAAGTGCTTTTGGCTCCCACTGGAGCAGGGTGAGATGGCTGAACTGCAGCGTGAATTCAGCGCCCAGCTCCATTAGTGGGAAATCTTCTGATGGTGTACGGGAGCAGAGATGGGCTGGGGGGGGGGTCCTGCAGCCCGTGGGTTCCTCGGCTGCTCTTTGCCTTTGGGCTCGTTGGTCCGGGGCTGTGGTACAGCACGGTGGCTGAGCAGCATCTCCTCTCATTCTGATGCAGGGCTGGGTGCTGCCCTGCTCGCTCTGCTCCCTCCATCCTCAGTGCCCACTCTGCCTCTGCTGCTGCTCCCCCAGCAGAACCGTGGGCACCTCCCGGTGGAGATGTTCCACTTGTTTGTTCAGCGGTCCTCAGAGCTTTCTGGGTGTCACTCTGTGGCGCCGTGCCTCAGTTTCCTGAGTGTAATTTTGAATGGGAATGGTTTGCTACTGCCAAGAAGAAGTGATGATATTTATTTTCACCAGCTGTTTGTATCTGCAGGGGGGAAATAATGTGTATCAAAACCTCCTCCAGAGGCTTTTTTAACAGTAATCCCACTTTTTGGGTTGGTGAGGCTATTTTTAACTGTCCAGCTGACACTGACCTCCTGGAACATTGAACGTTGACCTCCTATCCAAACTCCTTAGTTGGGCTAATGTGTTCAGAAAACTCCCCTTGCACAGTCCTGCCAAGCACCTCTGCCCCCAGCACAATACAGTTCCCTTGAGGTGCTGCTGTTGGAAATGCCCAACAAAATAAATGAAAGGAAGCTGGGCTCTGAGCAGCAGGATCACAGCAGCCTTGCTCAAGTCAACCTTTGTTTCTGTGAATGTCGTGCCTTTGTTTTTGTCAATGCTGTGTTTGTGAGAGGTTGGCTGGGCTGCCCTGGGAATGTGCCACACCATTGCCTTGCTGGGGACCTGAGCTGCAGGCATGGTGCTGAGCAGAAAGAAAGCTGATGAGTAGCTGGGGGTGGCATCTCAGCCACACTCAGATTCACTAACAGCTCACTTCAAGCAGAAACTAATGACTTTATGTAATCTGGGCTCTGTGTATGGAAGTTTGGGTCAGTTGTGAAATGCTTCATCAGAGCTTCCCCATTCAGGACCATTCACCGCCACGTGCGGCGGTGCTGGAGTGGACGCTGGCAGTGTTAGCAAAGGTATGGAGAGCAGAAGGCAGAATGTGCTTGAAATGCATCAGGGAGATCCAGAAGCCTTGTAGGAAGCTGGCAAATCTGGAAAGAGAAATGAGGGAAAAGCAACTGGAGATGCATGGGAGAGTAAATGGGATGAGATGTGAGACCCAGGCTGGTAGACAGCTTTGCTTTAGTGGTGCTTTTGCAACCACCAAATGTTGTTAGTTCTGTCTTTTCAAGCAAAACCCTTCAGCCTCCTGGGATGCTGCCTCTCTCAGGACTGAATTAAGCATCTCACGGAGGTTCAAAGGCTGTTCCTTGAGCTTGAGGCTGAGCTGTGTGTATGTGAGGAGGGGCAGATGCGTTCAGCCTTCACTTTGGACTGAGAATAAGGATTTAGCATTACACTGTAAGTTGTGCAAGTGTCACAGCTGATTGCTTTGTGTGCCCACTGTGGCTCTGTGTGTGGGGAAGGGCTCTGCGGAGATCGGCGCTTAGTGAAGAGAGTTCTGGATGTGTGCACAGGGTGCTGCTTAGAAGGTTTTATCAGAAAAACCACTGGGAACCTCTGCACTGTGCCTGTCCCTGCCATAGCTGCTTGGGTTGTGATAAACTTCATGCATTGCTGCTGGTGTTTTCTGGAACCTCGTGTTTTCTTCCCTGATTGCCTGCATGGCTGAAAGCTCCTCCATGTGAGGGCCAGCATTACGTGCCTTTGCCCATGGAAGGGTGGGCTGAGGACAGCTCTGTGTGCCTTGGCTATGGCAGTGCGGTTGCCAGAGGCCATGTGACGGCTGATCCTAAACATAGGCTTACAATCAAATGCTTGAGGAAGATGTTTCCATCACTCAATTACAATGGAAATCGGGGTTTGCTTGGACTCGGACATCCCTCCTTCCCCCCACCTTGTTATTTGCCCAGTCAGAGCCACTATTTGGAAGTTCCAGGGTTAAACTTCCTGGGTTGTGTTTTGTGGGTGTGTGCTTTTTGTTTTTTGTTTTTTTTTAGCTTTATGATGAGCTCCCATTTGGAAGAAGTCATTCAGGTGTTCCCCCATGCAGCGCTGAACAGAAGCGACAGATTTTTCTCCGACCTGCTAACGATGTGCCCCAGGAAGCAGCGCAGTGGGAGCAGCCCCTGTCCCTCTGTGGCCTGGCAGCCATTCTGCTGCTTTGGGAAGGAGGGTGGGAAGTGCTGTTCCATGGCAGCAGGCAGATCGGTAGCTGCCTCTCTTTTCCTGCAGTCCCTCCTGGGGAAGATTGCCTGTCCTCATGCAGGAAGCCAGCTCTGACTGTTTCAACCACAGGACCAATTTACCCGACCACAGTCCGCTGCAGTTAAATACTTATTTGGAATGTATATGCTGGGAACAAACGTTGCCCAGGAAAAGATTTTTGTATGTTTTCCTACCCTGCTGCGGTGCTGTCGGCGAATCCAGAGCATCTCTTCCTCTTGCAAAAGAGATGCAACACGTTGTTCTGCGTGGGAGCTCCGGAGCTGCTCTTACCCGCTCGTAATCACAGCGAGCGCCGAGGCGGTGGGTGGAAGGACGTGAGCTGGCAAATGCTGGAGCTGAGCGTGCCCTCTGCATCGGCAAAACAAATGAAGCCTGAAGAATAACTCTTTCAGGAGGCCGGAGCAGCATCAGGACTCATTGTCAGTGCTGTGGTGGCAGCTGTCAGCCCGTCCCCAGTGTTGCTGGAAGGCCAAAAGCTCCCTAAATGCTGTCTTCTGTAGGAGAATGCCGGTGCTGTCACCAGCTGCGGTGAGAGGCGCAGCCCCATCTCCGGGTGCCCCTGCTGTCCCTGCCCATGCGGTGCCCTCAGATGTCTGCAGGAGCCACTGCTGTGCTCGTCTCCCTCCTCCTCGTGCTCCTCTGGCTCAGAGGTTGGGAGGGGAAGAAATGGCATGATGCTGAATCGGCCTCTCCTGGGTTGTGCAATGAGGGGGAGGCAACGGGAGGGGTGCAGGTGGAGGTGTGTATGTGGAACGTGTCCTGGCAACGTTGGGGCTGTGGGCAAGAGGGGTGCCCTGCTTGTTTTGGATTAGTTGCAGTCTTTAGAAATAGTGTTGCCCCGTCCCATGCTTAGTTTTGATTGTGGGGGCTGTGTACACACACACAAAGCCTGCCTGTTCCTCGCCTTCTCCACATGTATGCATGCCATGAGCTCTGGGTTTATACCTGAAGCTTGACATTCAGATATTCGAGGCAGTGGATGGATAGGAGAGCTCCATTCAGCAGCTGAAGTGAGAAGAATTCCTAAGTCCAAGGCTTTTCCTCAGTCCTGGCCAGCTCAGGCTTCCTCCCAGAGCCTCACCTCCAGTGTGGGACCTCTGCAAGCATAGGTGGATTCAGGCTGAGGGTCAGTGCTCTGAAATGGTGTGACAGCATCCAGAGGGCTGTGGCAGGGAGAACTGCGTGCTTCATCCCCAGTCATCACCTCCAGCCTGCGGGCAGAACGTGGAGTCGGGGCTTTGGAGGCACCACTACGTTTAGATGTCCAGATTCCTTTGTGAAGCCAGAAAGCATCCGTCTCCCACACACATGAAATTCCAGAGATGTCAAACAGCTGGAGAGAGGTTCCCATGGAGCACCCTGCCTCAGGGCCAGAAATGGAAAGCTGTTCTTCCTGGTGCAGTTTCAAAACCAGATGATGGCAGGAAGCTGCGGGGCTGCAGCCCATGCTGCATTTCTGCTGAGCTCTCTGGGCTTTTTCATCCTCCTGGAGCATGAGGTGGTGTGTTGAGCCCGTGCCACCTCTGCATGACGTGTGCAGGGAAACACGTGGGGAATGTCTGCAGAGCTCTCCCCAGGCAAGGAGCATTCCAACTGGTTCCTGCTGTAACCAGGGGCAGGATGCAGCCCTTGGCTTCCACGTGGCCTGGAGCTCTCCAGGAGGAGATCTGCTGCCTGCAGCAGGCTGCACGGGCATGCCTAGAGCTGGGGGCTGGTGCAAAGGGCTGGAAATCAAACCACTGTGCAGTGGCACCCAGCACTGCCTGGCTGTGCTGTGCTAAGCAGCGTGCGTTGCTGCAGGCTCAGAGCTGCTTGGGTTGGAGTGATGTCTGTGATCCCTTGTCCATACCCTGCTCACAG